AACACTCCCCACCACAGTAACTCACCACCATCTTGGCACTCCCTACACGACAGTAACTCACCACCATCTTGGCACTCCCTACACGACAGTAACTCACCACCATCTTGGCACTCCCTACACGACAGTAACTCACCACCATCTTGGCACTCCCTACACGACAGTAACTCACCACCATCTTGACACTCCTCCACCACAGCAACCCACCACCGTCTTGGTACTCCCCACCAAAGTGATCCACCACCGTCTTGGCACTCCCACGACCACAGTAACCCACCACCGTCTTGGCACTCCCCCACTAAGGTAACCCACGACTTTCTTGGCACTCCCCCACCACAATAACCCACACCACAGTAAACCATCATCGTCTTGACACAACACCACAGTAAACCCTACCACAGTAAACCACCACCGTCTTGGCACTCCCCCACAACTGTAACTCACAACCGTCTTGGCATTCCCCCACCACAGTAACCTACCACCGTCTTGGCACTCCCTCCAGCACAACCAACCACCGTCCTGGCACTCCCCACCACAGTTACCCACCACCGTCCTGGCACAACCCACCACCACTAACCCACCACCGTCCTGGCACTCCCCACCACAGTAACCCACCACCCTCCTGCACTCCCCACCAAAGTAACCCACCACCCTCCTGGCACTCCCCACCACAGTAACCTACCACCCTCCTGGCACTCCCCACTACAGTAACCCACCCACCCTCCTGGCACTCCCAACCACAGTAACCCCCCACCGTCCTGGCACTCCCCACCACAGTAACCCACCACCTTTCTGCACTCTCCCCACCACAGTAACCCACCACCGTCCTGGCACTCTCCCCACCACAGTAACCCACCACCATATTGGGACTCCCCCACCACAGTAACTACCACCGTCTTGGCTCTCCCCCACCACAGTAACCCACGACTGTCTTGGCACTCCTCATCACAGTAACCCACCACCGTCTTGGCTCTCCCCACCACAGAAACCCACCACCATTTTGGCACCCACTCCACAGTAAACCACGTCGTCTGGCACTCCCCCACAACATAACCTAACCAACCGTCTTGGCACTCCCCCAGCACAATAACCAATCGCCGTTGCACTCCGCACGACAGTAATCACCATGTCTTGCCGCCCCCACCAGGAAACCACCGTCTTGGCCCTCCCACAACAGTAACCACACCACGTCTTTGGCGCTCTCCCCACAACATTAACCCACCACCGTCTTGTACTCTCCCCTCCACAGTAACCACTACCGTCCTGGACTCTCTCCACCACAGTAACCCACACCGTCCTGGCACTCTCCCCACCACGTAACCCACCACATGTTGCACTCTCCCATCACAGTAACCCACCAACCCAGCTTAACCAATTCACCTAAAAGCTCAACAGGCAAAATCTGAAATCAAGACGGTATAAAATTCTGGCTCCAACAAGAACAGTTGGCACAGCAAATATGACACTGAGCTCTTTTTCGATCCATAAAACAATTTTTGATCCGTGACTTTTGAGAAAGGTTAGGGGTCTAGAGCAAACCAACACAAATTTAGGGAACCAAAACTATAAGCAATCATTTCTACTCATAAAAATCACAAAACGAGAATCAACAGGGCAACAGCAAACAACACGAAAATCAACAGGCACACAAAAACAACACGAGAATCAAGGGCAACAGCAAAAACAACACGAGAATCAAGGGCAACAGCAAAAACAACACGAGAATCAAGGGCAACAGCAAAAACAACACGAGAATCAAGGGCAACAGCAAAAACAACACGAGAATCAAGGCAACAGCAAAAACAACACGAGAATCAACGGCAACAGCAAAAACAACACGAGAATCAACAGGCAACAGCAAAAACAACACGAGAATCAACAGGCAACAGCAAAAACAACACGAGAATCAACAGGCAACAGCAAAAACAACACGAGAATCAACAGGCAACAGCAAAAACAACACGAGAATCAACAGGCAACAGCAAAAACAACACGAGAATCAACAGGCAACAGCAAAAACAACACGAGAATCAACAGGCAACAGCAAAAACAACACGAGAATCAACAGGCAACAGCAAAAACAACACGAGAATCAACAGGCAACAGCAAAAACAACACGAGAATCAACAGGCAACAGCAAAAACAACACGAGAATCAACAGGCAACAGCAAAAACAACACGAGAATCAACAGGCAGCCACAAAAACAACACGAGAATCAACAGGCAGCCACAAAAACAACACGAGAATCAACAGGCAGCCACAAAAACAACACGAGAATCAACAGGCAGCCACAAAAACAACACGAGAATCAACAGGCAGCCACAAAAAACAACACGAGAATCAACAGGCAGCCACAAAAACAACACGAGAATCAACAGGCAGCCACAAAAACAACACGAGAATCAACAGGCAACAACAAAAACAACACGAGAATCAACAGGCAGCCACAAAAACAACACGAGAATCAACAGGCAGCCACAAAAACAACACGAGAATCAACAGGCAGCCACAAAAACAACACGAGAATCAACAGGCAGCACAACAAAAACACGAGAATCAACAGGCAGCCACAAAAACAACACGAGAATCAACAGGCAACAAAAAAACACGAGAATCAACAGGCAACAACAAAAACAACACGAGAATCAACAGGCAACAACAAAAAACAACACGAGAATCAACAGGCAGCACAAAAACAACACGAGAATCAACAGGCAAGCAACTCAAAAACAACACGAGAATCAACAGGCAACAACAAAAACACGAGAATCAACAGGCAACAACAAAAACAACACGAGAATCAACAGGCAACAACAAAAACAACACGAGAATCAACAGGCAACAACAAAAACACGAGAATCAACAGGCAACAACAAAAACAACACGAGAATCAACAGGCAACAACAAAAACACGAGAATCAACAGGCAACAACAAAAACAACACGAGAATCAACAGGCAACAACAAAACAACACGAGAATCAACAGGCAACAACAAAAACACGAGAATCAACAGGCAACAACAAAAACATGAGAATCAACAGGCAACAACAAAAACAAACACGAGAATCAACAGGCAACAAACAACACGAGAATCAACAGGCAACAACAAAAACAACACGAGAATCAACAGGCAACAACAAAAAGCAACACGAGAATCAACAGGCAACAACAAAAACAACACGAGAATCAACAGGCAACAACAAAAACAGAGAATCAACAGGCAACAACAACAAAACACAGGCAACAACAAACAGAGAATCAACAGGCAACAACAACAACAGAGAATCAACAGCAAAACAACACGAGAATCAACAGGCAAAACAACACGAGAATCAACAGGCAGCAACAAAAACAACACGAGAATCAACAGGCAACAACAAAAACAACACGAGAATCAACAGGCAACAACAAAAACAACACGAGAATCAACAGGCAACAACAAAAAACACGAGAATCAACAGGCAACAACAAAAACAACACGAGAATCAACAGCAACAACAAAAAGAACATGAGAATCAACAGGCAACAACAAAAACATGAGAATCAACAGGCAGCAACAAAAACATGAGAATCAACAGGCAACAACAAACAACATGAGAATCAACAGGCAACAACAAAAACACGAGAATCAACAGGCACAACAAAAACATGAGAATCAACAGGCAACAACAACAACATGAGAATCAACAGCAACAACAACATGAGAATCAACAGGCAACAACAACAACATGAGAATCAACAGGCAACAACAACAACATGAGAATCAACAGGCAACAACAACATGAGAATCAACAGGCAACAACAACATGAGAATCAACAGGCAACAACAACAACATGAGAATCAACAGGCAACAACAACAACATGAGAATCAACAGGCAACAACAAGAACATAAGCAACAGGCAAAAAGAACATAATCAACAGGCAACAACAACGCGAGAATCAACTGGAAACGTGAGAATCAACAGGCAACAACGGAGAAATCAACAGGCAACAACAAAACAACACGAGAATCAACAGGCAACAACAAAAACAAACACGAGAATCAACAGGCAACAACAAAAACAACACGAGAATCAACAGGGAAACAACAAAAACAACGAGAATCAACAGGCAACAACAAAAACAACACGAGAATCAACAAGCAACAACAAAAAAAACATGAGAATCAACAGGCAACAACAAAAACAACATGAGAATCAACAGGCAGCAACAAAAACAGAGAATCAACAGGCAACAACAAAACAACATGAGAATCAACAGGCAACAACAACATGAGAATCAACAGGCAACAACAACAACATGAGAATCAACAGGCAACAACAACAACATGAGAATCAACAGGCAACAACAACATGAGAGTCAACAGGCAACAACAACAATGAGAATCAACAGGCAACAACAACAACATGAGAATCAACAGGCAACAACAACAACATGAGAATCAACAGGCAACAACAACAACATGAGAATCAACAGGCAACAACAACAACATGAGAATCAACAGGCAACAACAAGAACATAAGCAACAGGCAAAAAGAACATAATCAACAGGCAACAACAACGCGAGAATCAACTGGAAGCGTGAGAATCAACAGGCAACAACGGGAAAATCAACAGGCAACAACAATACGCGACAACAGGCAACAGCAACAATACATGAAGCAACAGACAACACGAGAATCAACAGGCAACGACAACATTACACGATGCAACAGGGAACAACACGAGAATCAACAGGCAACACTATCGTAACAAACAACAGGCCATAACAATACACGAAGCAACAGGCAACAACAGCACAATAATCATACCTTTAGATTTACCCCCTCAAGGAAGGTTCCTTGATGTTGGTGAGGGGCTCTTGATTTAGGGAATTGGATCTGTGCTCCAGTTCCCCGAATTAAGCCTGAATGCCTTCCACATCCCCCCCCCAGGCGCTGTATAATCCTCCGGGTTTAGCGCTTCCCCCTTGATTATAATAATAATAATTTAGATTTACCTTCGTCTGATCCTGAAGTGTCGACACTCAACCACGTAGTTACCTCGTAAACGTAGTTCAGAGTTGTCTTATAAAGCACTTGGGATTTATTACCCATTTCAATAGTCAGACTGCTTATTACTAAATGATCATAATGTTCAAAAACATTTGGTAAATCCGTACGGATCACACAGTGCTCGCACATCACTTAAAAATTCGCGTTATAGTCTTTACACTTCCATCACCAGCAAAACCGTTTTCACCTACACACTGCCGTGAGCACCAGGCAAATGAGCGGCTTTGCTTCGAACCATCTGTGAGTCACCTCGAAGCCTCGTTCAGCTAAGCACTTGTTGTGATTGGCTGGTGTGTTATGTATGAACCCTGTTAATAGTATATACACGGCCAGGTATGTATCTTTCAGATATATACACCAAAGTGTGCATCTCTGTATATATACAAGGATTCTACATTAGTCATAATTTTAGTTATTGAAGTCGATAGGCAACCACCTGTTAGAGTATATACCGCGAGAGGTGACTCTCTCTCACTGTATATGATACGTGAGTGTGCAATTTTTGAAGCCGATCAGAAGTGGGTTTCTGAACTTTCTGAAGGTCTAAAAAAAATTGAGCAGAGAGCACCTGCATTCGTCAATTGCCACAACCTCCACATATAGTTGACAAGGGTCAAAAATTCGAAGCCTATCTAATAAGGCGTTCTCGAGTTCTAAACAAAAGCCCTTAGAGGTTAGTTGATGACTTATTAGCACAAAATTTTGTAACGGTTATAAAAATTGGTGAAAAATATTCTCCACTGTCCTCTCAGATTTTCTTTTTTAAACACAGTCCAATTGATCAAGAACAAAATATAAAATAGGCAAATTGGCACTTACAAATTCCAAATTCAATAAAAGCTTCAACGTGTGTTGAAGGCACCCAGGAGAGGCACGCTTGTTGTTACGTGGAAACCAATTTGGAATTAACAGTGTACAATTTACATAGCTCAAAGTGAAAGTCAAGCTTCCTTTAATGAAGTCCATCAACACTTCAAGTTTGAAACTTACCGGAAGAGGCGTTCTCCGGTAATTACTCTGAATTCAACGAATTAAAATTTTTAACAGTGTCAGTAGAATTTTAATTTTGTAATTAACATAAAAATTGGATATCCTTATAGAAAACATCAGAGTTAGTATTTTGAACCTTATAAGACGAGGCGTTTACTTATTGAAGGGTAATCCACAATTTTTTAAATAAATTTGGCAAAATGAGAATTATATAGCCAAATAACAAGGCGAACATTGCTTACTTGAATACACAGTAGGGCGGAAAATTCGATGGAGCTCAGAAGCATTCTAGTTATCGTACGGGTTGCATCGATTTCAAGTTATTAAAAAAGTCCACTGATAAATATACCCGAACAGAACCTAAACTTAATGGACGCTATCCTCGCCATGAGAGGCATCAGCCATTAAATCAAAGTTCCACAGTATTTTACACATACAACTAGAAGATATGCTTCGATACGCTTAAATCTCACTCTTTGCCTTCGTCGAATTAGGAGGTACCTGTCTGGAAACGTTTGAAGTTACGCCTCAGCGGCTTTCAGGAGTTACTGGAGCCATTCCATGATGCTAGAAATGGATTGCACAACTCTGATACTTGGTACACCTGCCATGGGAATTGTACACCAGCGTTGAAATTTTTTTAAGCCGATCGGCGTGAAACCCCGAGTTATTATCGTAACATAATCGAAAAGTTGAAGATTAAGTCACATGTTCCAGACACGATGTTCCAGACCATGGAACTGAACTCATCTCCAGGCTGAGGGACTGACTACCTCAGATACTTTTTCTCCAAGATTGACTGAGTGATTACATCTTCACTTCCACCCCCTCTGTATTTGACTGAAGTAGCCAACGTGTTGACGAAACATTTCGTCAATAAAGATACCCAACAGCTGCACAAGTGTCTTAATCTTCAACGTATCGATATTTTATATAATTTTCAACAAAAACGAAAAGTTGGAAGAAGCAAAACAAATTCTTTCGTCCAGTTAGAGATCGTTCAATGTGGATACCAAATAATTGATATTTTTCCTCTCGAAAAAAGGTTTTATTCAATAACTTTTTTTAACTATTTTAGTCCGAGTGTTTGCGTTAGTTTAGCTGCTTATTCATATTCCTTTCCCAAATTGTTCTTTCCGGTGACGCATTTTCATCTCGCCACTTTTTCAAAGATTAAGACCGTCGTAGATTTGTGTTACTCTTCCTTTCAGGTGTTCTTTCTCTTCTTTGTGTCCAGTTTCATCGTATTCTGCTCATTTTCGGTCTTTTTTTTGTAAATTTCATTAGGACTCAAGTCTGGTAAGACGAAATTTAGTCCTGGGGGTGGCAAGTGCAGTGCCTGCACTCTGAAGGAAGAGTGGAGATATATTGCAGTGTTGAACTATAGTGTAGGCACGTCTCTGGCAAAACAGTGATGGAGTGAGTGACGATGAAGGTGTTTCTTTTCTTCCGGGTCACTGTCTTGGTGGAAAACGGCAGTGTTAATAAATTAACAATAATAAATTTTCTTGATCTGCATTCTTATTTGCTTGTTATCTCTGCCAGTATTTCCTGATTAACTTAGTTTTCTCAGTTGCTTATCCAGCTTTACCTCATAAGTTTATGTTTTCGTTCGTTGATTCCCAGTATTATCTGCTCTCTTACGTTCTTAATTAAGTTTGGTTTCTAATCCCTGTGTTGAATTTTCCAGGCATAGTCGTTAATTTATTCATCTGTTGGAACTATAGCTCGTATTTTCACATTTCCTCATTACACACTGATTCATGCGCGTACTTGGGTGTGTGTACTCACCTAGTTGTGGGTCCAGTGTCGAGTCACAGCTCCTGGCCCCGCCAAGAGTGTGTGTGTGTTTGTGTAACAGATATGCATAAGGAAGCGTGAGCCGTCATGACTTGGGTTTATATATGAAAAAAAAAACAAATTAGACAATAAACAAAACGTAAAGAAGAGAAAAGAAAAACCATGGAATAGAACATGAAACGAAGAAAGAACACAGGAAGAAAGAAAGAGGAAAAAATGAAGAGTAGGAGAAAGGGAAGGAGAGAACGTAATTCTTCAGGAGAGGGATAAAACTAATTGGTCCCACCAGCTGGCACTGACAGATAGTCCACCACTGCTACCATCGGTATAAAGCACCACTAGTATAAGGCATCAACAGTATAAGGCACCACTAGTATAAGACATCAGTATAAGGCACCACCAGTATAAGGCATCACCAGTATAAGGCATCACCAGTATAAGGCACCATCAGTATAAGGCATCACCAGTATAAGGCACCATCAGTATAAGACATCACCAGTATAAGGCACCACCGGTATAAGGCATCACCAGTATAAGGCATCACCAGTATAAGGCACCACCAGTATAAGGCATCACGAGTATAAGGCACCACCAGTATAAGACATCACCAGTATAAGGCACCACCAGTATAAGGCACCACCAGTGTAAGGCACCACCAGTATAAGGCACTACCAATAAAAGGTACCACCAGTATAAGGAACTACTAGCATAAGGCACTTCTAGAATAAGGCACCACCACTATAAGATACCAATATAAGGTGTCTCCATTATAAAGCACCACCAGTATAAGGCACCGTCGATATAAGACACCACCATTTAAGGCACCATGGTTATAAGCCACCATCAGTATAAGGCACCATCAATATAAGACACTACCAGTTTAAGGCACCATCAGTATAAGCCACCATCAGCATAAAGCACTACCAGTTTAAAGCACCACCTGTATAATGCACTACCAGGATAAGGCACATGTATAAGGCACCGCCAGTATGCTAAAGGCGTTTTCAAGGCAGGTAAAACTGCAGACCTGGAGAATATACAGAGAACTTTCATTGCAAGTATAAGTACAAAAAAGCATCTCAATTACTGGGAACGGTTGAAGTCCCTCACTCCTTTGACCTGTACTCATTGGAACGCAGGCGAGAACGATACATCATAATATATCACTTGGAAAATCCTATAGGGACTAGTCCTGAATCTGTACACAGAAATCACTCCCTACAAAAGCGAGGGCTCGGCAGGCGGTGTAACACCCCCCCCCAATGAAAAGCAGGGGAGCCCTACACTAAGAGACAGCACAGTAAGTGTCGGGGGCCCAAGACTGTTCAACTTCCACAGAGCATATATAAGGAGGATTAGCAACAGACCCCTGGCTGCCTTCAAGAGGGCAAAAGGGTGCTGGCCAGGCACTTACAGTACCTGAACAGTCGGGCTGTTGTTCGTACGTCGGTGTACGTGCGGCCGGCAGTAACAGCCTTGTTGGTCAGGCCCTGATCCACCACGAGGCCTGATCATGGACCGAGCTCCGGGATTATTATTATAAAAAAAGAAGCGCTAAACCTATCGAGCCCCGGGAGCGTTGTCTCTCGAAACATGCTCAGGTATACTCCAGGTATACAAGGTACCACCCGTATAGGGCGCGACCGGTATAAGGCACCGCCAATATAAGGCACCAAGAGAGTAAGGCCAGGGATTTACACTGTTAATTTGTTTGTGTATTTCTTAGTTTAATGGTCAATGTACGATCATGTTTAATCTCATGTAAATAATGTTTATCTATTACTTTCATTAGGTAATGTATATAGATGGTTTTACTGTATTTAAAATTTCAACTCGACTGTTCATGACTCTGGAGGATTTACAGATTTATACGAATAAAATAAATTTATATTTCAAAGAATACTTGAGTTATTATTCATATCTATTTTGTTTTAAAGACACTACTGTAAACACGAGGTAAAAACTACCGAGGTTAACATTAAGGAACAAACAAAGTAACTTCAGTCGACTCCAATTAAGAGTCGCTGACAAGTATTCTAAGGACAACCACCAGACAGACATTGTCGGCTATTATACTTGCAGCAAGTGCACTAAATACCGTTGTAACATTTGTTCAACGCTTTTGCAACTGATATCGTTGATGTGGAGTTCAAGCACAATGATCTGCAACCTTTGTGCGCATCAGATTAATAAAAATCAAAGACAGTTGTGCCGAGTGAGCTGCTAGTTTATTGTGCATGCCGAGGCTCATCCTGTAACCAGTAGCGCAAAAATCACGATTACACAGGTCACAATGGGTCTTTGTCACATCCACTGATCATTGTTACATCATTAGAAAGAAGCAGCAGCCATTAATTTTTTCGATTAATTCACGTAATTAATATACACAAAGTAGAGAATACAATCTAAGAAAATGATGTATTACCACAAAAAGACATTGGTTATAGTTGGGTTGCAATCTTCTCTATAAAACAATTTTA